CGTCCTGACGATAATTGCCGACAGGTATGAGGGTGCCTTCCACACACGTTGGATAGAAGTTCACAGGGGGGTATATATCCGGAACTAACGGTTTCGTAATGGTCATATTGTGCCCTCCTTTTTGATTTTACATACATAAATAAATTACTTACTAACCTCATTTTAATAATAATATTATGGATGATGTCTGAAAAAACTTTTTTTTACATCTTACGCAATAAATGACCAAACTTGTTTCATTGGAATATAAATTCAAATTCATAAAACTTAAAACACTATAATGATAAAAATAGAAGACATTTTGAAACAACAAGATCGTGCCTAGAAAAAACGATAATGCAATTATTAATCTTTAAAACGTCAACGTTAACCACTCTTTCCTTTCTGTAAAATATTAACTGCTTTCACAGTCTATCCTGGATATAATGATAAAAATGACGATGAAAACGGAATATTACAAATTTTACGAAAATTGACAACTTTACAAACTTCATTTTACTCCGTCTTGGAAAAACATATGGAAGATGAAGCGATATAAGTTACTTAATTAATAATTTATGACAGTGTATGTATTATGCCATTATTATACACATTTTCTCGCTAAATCGCACAAAGAAACCACAGTGCGGCTAAAAAAGATGATCATAATTTAAATTCTACGGAAGAAGCTCCTTCTCTGTCGAAATTGTTCCACAACATTCACTTTTCTTAACACTTAATTGAAAAAACACTAAGGCTCTTTAACGGAATGACTACCCGTTAATTCATATACAATACCTACGCACTTTGATCTACTAATGTACATTTATAACAAAAAAAATCAATTAAATATTTGTACCTAAATCTTGAAGAGAATGTTCAAATTAGATCCTACTCTTCAAAGGACTGTTCTACAACTCCAGTAAGGGCGTATCAACATTTATTACCTCGGAATCGACTTGGGCTCAAAAACAGCTTTATTTCCACGGACATTGTAGCTGGATTTTATTAATACGGGCCGTTTTAGAGGTTGACATAATTTACATTATTATTTTTTACGTTTATATTTGTACGAATGTATTGGATTAATCTTAGAAATTCGTGAAGGTTTAATTATCACGTTTTTGCAGTTTAAGCCAAATACAATTCTTCACACGATTTACGAAACATTTTACAATATATAACATAACAAATTAAAATGCCACTAAAAATGTTATCACTATTTCTAACACTATAATTACATGGAACACGTAATTGCGTATATAATTAATTTTGTATCATTTCGGTAAGACGTGTTCGTGACACGTTGTAGTTGTAATTAGCAACACGACTTTATAAAACAGGTGTTATGGGTCACTAAACGGTCAGTACCTTTACCACGAGTTCACAGTAACAGTTGTCGCTAGTTGCTTCTTGGGGTTCCTCTCCTGTCGGAGAGAGATTGACAACATCTTAACAATCCTGACTTTAGAGGCTGCCGCTGTAAAATAGTGCGGTACTGCTGCCGCATGCATGTGGAATGCACCTTAAAAGTGGTTTACTACCGGCCAGACGAGGATTGAAATTTGTATGACAAAATTTCAATTAGATAGATAGATAGATAGATAAACACTTTATTCACTGATATAACACAAATACAGATTAATCATAAAAGAAAAACAAAACATGATTGTCATAGCAGTGAAACGGCGCTGACTCAGCATATGCCAAAGTTTCCTAAGGCGCTGGTTTTCAGTCAGAACCAACGAGAGGGATTAAGTTATTAGAAAGCAAAAATATAACGACTACGAGTAAAGTTATACATTGACAACAATAATATACATAGTACAGTGTAAATTGTGCATCTAAAATAACCTGTTTGACATACAAGTACATGAGCAAATGTGAATATAATTACAGCTGTAGGTGTAAGTTATGAGTGTAAAGAGGATTTAATGTTGTGTAATGTAATTAGTATTATAATATAATTATACACATAATAAGAATAGATCAAAGCAACAACAAAATTGGATTCTAGACAGACTACGTTAAAGAATAAAAACACACTACACAGATTTTTGTAGGGTGAGTAGTGAGAGTAGGTGTTACCGGTACAGTGCTTTGAATTTGGGTTTGGATTTCTCTCCTAGTCCATCTTCGGTGGAAATGGTATGGATTGACGGGGATGGGCGAGGCGATTGCCTGCATGGACTCGCGCGGGCTCGCGATGGCTATTAATACCAATCGCGCGATTGTGGGGTATGTACGATTTGAGATTTAAAAAAAGATAGTTTCATCTGATTCTTCTTCCGTTAACATATTTAATAATAATAATTTGCGGATGTGTCACTTCCGCCACGTATTTATCGCTAGATGAACTGAACAGTACTGAATCTTCACTATCCAATCACAGCGCAAGCTTGCGCGAACTTATTAATGACAATTTTTGTTGGAAATAGGCGAGCCAGATTTCAGTTCTCGTCTCTCCTCGCCTCGTCTCGTCGTTGGAAAACCACCTTAACTCCCTTCTTGTCAAAAGTATAAGCTATCAATGCGAACTCGTGGTAGAGGCAATGCTCGTATTAAAAAAGTGCCCAACCACTATTGACCTCATCTTCTTGTACTTTTTTTGTAATTAATTTTATTATTACTATAATTGAAGTTAAAAATCCTTAAAATTATCACATTCAATATTCGACTAAGCACTAGGGTCTAATTATAAGAAGTGTATTTTTAGAACACAGGTAATTGTTTTGGTTGTCTACGACATTCATTATTATTGGCTTCAAAATCACAAGAACTCCTAAATTGGGCTTGAAAAAAATAGGCTGCAAAAATATCACTTTTTACACCCTTCAGTACAAATCTTTGAGGAACTGTATTGAGTCTTACATCGTAAATTTTACGCGGTTATATCTCAAGGGAAATAAATAATGTTTTTTCTATTTATTTTTTAATTATAAATTATACCTATATCTATTTTTTTATTAAGGCACCTTCAAATTAGATGCGCGTCACTACTAAATTTTCACACAATATTTAGAAGCACAACTGCAACACCACAATCGCGCTACGTGTACGCCACTTTTGCAGACTAGATTTTATATGAAAATTTGTAGTGACACACAGACACAGACGGGCCACTGCAGTGCTTCTACAAACTTCTAATTTGAAGGCGACTTTACAGTCACAAGCCGAAATATAGCACTACTTTTTTTACACCCTACACATGAGACTTATTCAATATAACATACGTACGTGACACGTGAGATAACTTAAAAATAAGCTTCATGGTCAAATACGAACGCTAAATTACACAAACGTAATACTTCATTCAATAACATGCTGTATCAATTTTCTTATCATACACTATTACAATTAAATATACATTAAATTTAAAAACGCCTCTGCGATTGGCTTCTATTTATTAATTACGGCGAAAACATTTCTATTCACATTAAATATCTAATAAATACATCTACTTACAACTTTAATAGCTACAGTAAATTAAATAGGATTCAAACATATTGACCGTTATCTTTGAAATAAATATGGCGGACTGGGAAAGGAATATTCTTGGCTGTTTGGAAGAACACAAGGGAAGCAATACGTAGTCAAAATGCTAAACATAAATATTTCATACGTTTTAATGAAAAAGCAACCATATTTTTATGTCATAAAATTTAAAATTGACATCATGCTTTTAACATATCATACCGTCATTAATGAAGAGACGAAATTTAATAACTGAAATTGCAACATCTCGAGTTGTTAGGTTTTGGTGATTGTTACACATCGGAAATTAAAGTACTTTTTCGGATTTATGTCGCGTATAATTGTTTTTTCAAACAAACCGACGTTTCGGGCCCTTTACAGGTCCGATTATCATGGCTGACGGTCACCATGGGACCTGTAAAGGCCCGTACGCGATTTACTTAAATCCGGAAAAATAGTTTCATTTCCTATGAAATCGTAACACTTTATTTTAAAAAAAAACTTCAAAAGTTTGTGTAATTACATCTATTTGCCAAGTTTTATTGAAATCGATTAACAGAAAGTGGGTGAAGCCAATAAACCGGATTTATTTCATAATTGATCACCCTTAGAGGTTTATTTTCTTCAAATTTAAATGGGACCAATACTGAAGCACCCTCTTTCCAACAAAAACCAAGAAGAATTATCGAAATCGGTTCACAAATGCCGAAATAATCACGTAGCATATACATACATTTCAATTAAGAACTTCCTTTTTTTGAAGTCGATGAAAAAGGAAAATTTTTGCAACAAAAAAATTACTTGACTATAGTCCTATATGCAATAAGCAAAATGACATAATATGTCATTATACGATTGGTAACACATGTGTTTTTTAAATACTCACACTAATTTCATTACTTTCTTCATTAATGACGGCATGATGTAACACACTGTACTTATGAGTCCACCTATGATGGCCTAAGTAGGTACCAAAACAATCTTACCTATACATAACTCTACGACTTCTATAAACCTATATAAACTGTACATAAGTTTCTGTACTCTATACGCATTGTTCATATAATTTTATGAAAAACTAAATGCAATATTTTTGCTAACAACACGTCGTTATAAGCTGTTTTATACAGCCGTGGCAATAACGTAGAACTAGTGGTAAGATTTTGTTAGAAGCACTCCTCGGAAGGTACAATGAACCACAAAAATGTGATTCAAGACGCCTTATTCCACTAAGTATCACTTGCATTAACCTCAACGATCTGTATAAGGTAGACAAATTGGATAACAGAATTCTTAATACATTCCCTTCAGTACAGGCAATAAAGCCTTTTGAATTTGACCTGCTGATGTCTCTTGGTGTTATTTTGCCATCCTGCAATGTCTAGTGGCAATAACACTCGGTTACATTCATACAATCATCGTTCAACCTACGAGTTAGCTCATATAGTTTAGCTACATAGTCTTGTAATTGACGATGCATTTAAATATCTACGCACAATGTCGATAAAATGCAAAGGTATATGCTCTTTATACGGCCTATTTGGAGGGGTTAAACCATTATTTAAACTTGTGAAAATAATTAGATTTTGCAATATATTACCGTAATTTTTTTTACCAGCACAGTACCTATCATAAGTCATTCATAAGTAATTTCCTTTAGTCAGTTCTTTTTCGTTATCATTCTTCCATATAATATATAATCCATATTTAGAAGGACACGTGTTACTTCCTCAAATATTAATATGATATTAATTTGACGAGTATTTTCCTTTTAAAACAGAACAAGATTATAATAACATTGTTATGGCGGCCTCCCACTATCCGTGATTGTACAACACACGACCACTGACATCCAAACACGCACCGGTACGGACGCGTCTGCGTTACCACGGACGAGTTCCTTCCCATTGTGCGCATGTGCGAGCTCGTGCGTGGTGATCGGTAAAATCACGGACTTTGGCAAACCACCTTTACACACAAATAGTTTTAAATTGAAATGAAATATGTGACTTAATAATGGTTCTGACAGTGTATAAATAAGTTACTGTCAATACGAGACATTTACAATGACAATGTCAATGTATTAACAAGTTTCTGTCAATCCGTGATGGTTTGGTCAAAGTACCAACAGTCTGGCAGTTTGAATTCTCAGGGTACCTGACCGCAGACAGTGGGTACAGGAAGGGGCAAATCTCACTGTGTCTTGGGTTTGTGATGCGACGTGTCACTCGCGAATATGTGCGCGAATTCCGTTTTCTTTTGCGCGTACGATATGAACTCGTCTGAAACGGAAATTAAATTCTTGTAGCAGTAAGAATGTAAGAAACAAAATACGCCAAAAGGGGTTTCGCGACAGATTAGGTACTTGTTTATTCTAGTTGCAGCAACCAGTGCTTTTGTTTCCATCCAAGTAATAGAAATAGAAAACATTTATTCCTTACGTAGACAACACAGTACACATGCATTTTGTAATAATAACAATAAAAATAGTACTAACTACAAATATATAGAAGGGTACAACGCGTGTGTGCTGTGCTGCCAAGGAAACCGTGACCCACTCAGCTTATTGTCGTCTCACTTATGGTGCTACGACGCTGATTTTCAGCGGATCCGGCAACAGAACACACGTGACACGGAACATAGTAGCCGTGACAGATTGACAATTATGTCCTTAGAACGCACAAAATATGTCAGAACGAACAGATTATTGGCACAGTACAAGAAGTAATGACGTTACCACTTACATAATATATGCGTTAAAATGTGAAATTAATTTCATAAAACATGTATAAATATTAGAGTTAGTCATTTTGTGATATTAGTTAGAAATAATATCACAAAATGAATATAAATGTAGACAGTAAAGGATAAACCACACTTATCGACGCGGAATTGCATTAAGCCGGTCGGAAAAAGCTTTATGTTGATGAGCGTAAGAGCGAAAAAGACGTTACGCGCGTCGCATCGGTTCGTACGAACGCGGCTCGACACAGGTCGGAAACGAATCTGCTTACTGCGAAATTCCTATCGCGTCCGTACGTGTGGCGACGACGTTAAATCCTAGATTAGAATGGCGCGTCGGCGGCGAATCGGCTTAATGCGACAAGTGTGGATAAAACATTACCGCCTCAAGCCGATTCCGCATCGATAAGTGTGGTTTATCCCTTAGTGTAAGTACAGATGGGTGTGAATGACATTGACATGGCCATCCATTTTATTGAACCATTCCGAGGACGGCCATAAGACTTTTTTATGATATCAAGTGACGGGACGGGCAAGTCGTGCGCCTGATGGTAACCGACATGCTTACATATAACAGTTTGCTGTAGCACTCAGAGCTTTGGCAAAGGCATAAAATTGACAAATCCCATGTCATCATCGTGTCAACCGATATATATAGCGATGTACGACAGCGAATGATTTCGATTTTCGACTCGTTAGTAATTACTAATCCTGTCATTAGTAACCTATTAATTCTCGTATTCGAATGATCATGACCATTCATCACTAATCCAAGGATTCCGTAAAGCATTTCTGCTTAGCCGACTTTGACATGTATTAAATACCGTAAACGTGACGGAGACATGGATATTTTGATAAGGACGTGGTGAATGACCGAGTTCCGAGTAATTTTGATATAATAATCATTCGAGTCGTGTACCCGACCGAATGGCAGAGGCATTCAAAACACTAACAAAAGACGGAAAGATATTGTCTGCCCCAAAATTACATCATCAAAACATGTGTTAATTTCCAGATCTTTTTGTGTTTCTTGGACCATTTTTGGACAATAAATTAAATGCCAAATTGGCCATGAGTTTGAAGTAACTCTTCTCCAAGAGTTACTTCAAAATATGTCATATGATGATACAAACAATTTATTTAATTATCCAAAAGTAAATTTAAGCGTCTAGGTTTATGATTCCCATTTTATTGTTTAATAATTATTTAATTTATAATTTAATAATATATCCGCCTGTATAATTAGTGTTTAGTTACTCCTTTGTACAATAAGTTATTCAATAAAGAATTTTATTATTATTATTATTCAGTATCGATAATCATTCGACTCGAGTCGAATGATATTGTGCTTGGATTCGACTTAAACGAATGAATTGCCCATTCGAATGATTAATATTGGTAACATTCAATGTCGCGCATCACTAACCGGTACTTGAGACTTGAAACTTGATTAAAATGCCGTTAATCCATAGTGTTTGTAAATAACCTCTCACCGTAAGTAATATACCCCTTCTCGTCGAGATCGGCTTGCCGGAATGTGTTTTGTGCGTCTTCCTGACACAGCCCCAGACACCGTGTCGCAACCTCCTCGAAATTGCTCGGGTTCAGTCTCCCAAACCCTTGGCTGTCGTATAACTGGAAACAAAAGTTTTACCCTTATGTAAGTGCACAAAGCAATTGGCTTACCCCAATGACCTTATAACAAAACTGACCCATTCCTACCTGAATTCACTAGAGTAAAGAGGAGTCATCACCGACATACATGTGCCAAGCCACTGGTTATATAGCATATGTGAAAACTAAACACACCAAACACCACCGCGACGAAACCGGTCGAAGATTCTCACACCCCTCAGCAGAAGTAGGACGAATGGCTGGATGATAATAATGTTATGATGTCAATATTTTAACCTAAAATGTAAAGGCTAACTCTTGAAGAATTTGTTGGACCTATCCATTAAGAACACATTTTCTTTCGGTACGTCTCTAAGGCCGTGGGAAAAACCACCTGCTCCGTATATATGTGCTGAGTAGATGTAAACATTTGGTTTTTCCTCGTAGGCCAAAGTTCCCAAACTATTTTGCTCACCGCCACGAACATTAATTGAAAACACGTATTTTTTATTAACTTAACACAAAAATAACAAGGAAAAAATTCAAGGAAAATCAGGGTTTTTTTTCAAGTAGCCCCTCGGCGAGAGGGATCTCCCACCCCCCTAGGACTCTTCAGCGCCACCACCACCACCACTTTGGGCGACTATGTCGTAGACCTTTAAGATCAAAATGTTTAGCCACGAATACTTTACTAACCTTGAAGGCATACGAGAGAAGATGTGACAGAGGCGCGTGTTGCAGAGACAGAAACGCGGCACAGAGTAGATAGTCCGGAAAGTACACCAGGCCGCTCGATCTCTGTAATATCAAAGTTAAAAGGTTATATATTTCTACCTACTAGTTAGTACTTCCCACAAATGTGTTGACTTCAAGAGTTGTTTTTTTAATTTTAATCTTACTTCATCAGGTGTGTTGTCTATTTAATGGTTATATAAACCATACGCCGCATAGAAACTGTGAAAATGGTATTTTATGTATTGCAACTATAAGCTGTACATACATAAAAAAACCCGCATTCAAAATTAAAGAGACAAACTAAAAACATCAGAACACTGGTCTAATAATTATTTGCTGTAACCATTGACTTACAAATAAATGGACGACGGGTCTAATACAAAAACCACGAAAAAAATGTCCCAAGTCAACCTATTTAAACGTAGTGACATGTAAAGGAATATGAAAAAGCTAAAACGTTGAATTTGAATTGTAATGTCATCGCAGTACTGTCTAATTTTGCTTGCTTCGCTGTCAGTCGAACAAACGAAGACTAAAGCGTGAATGACGCTCTGTATACGATTTTAACGCCCTATAAGTTCAGACACTTTTTAGCGCGGACCCGACGTCCATATAATTGTAAGTCAATGGCTGTAACAGTAAAGGCAAACACCGCCTAAGATCGTCGGGACAAGAAAGTGCTGGAAAACGGCGCTGCCTGGGACAACAACGGTTCCAGACAGCACAAGAGACACCTCCTTTTGCCATCTGACATGTTTGACGTACCGTTTATTGATTTTTGATGTGTTGTTTGTGTCTAGAAATGTGTCATAAACAATTTTTGTATTTGTGATGAACTAACATGTGGGATACATATGGATCAGCAGCCTATAATGTACTACGTGATTGGTTATGGTGATTTGTTGTCTGATGATAAAGATCAAAAGAAGGAATGTGGAATTTGCAGAGGTGAAAGGAAAATCCAGACCTGAACAAAGATGTTGTAGAGCCGGAAGGAGAGGTCGTTGGCGGGCACGCCGAGGCGCACCGCGAACTCGTCTGCAGAGAGCCAACGCGCTCGCCCCGCCATGCCTGATGCTGCGAGGTGCAGCTCCAGCTGAGAACGTTCTAGCCTGCGAAAATAATATATCACTCTCGGTGTAATAAAGCCACATCTGCAAAATGATAACTTTCATGCTGAAATAGGAGATTTATAAAATGTCACATGTCAGGGATAGTGCAATGCGTAAGTAGCATTGGATTTATGAGTCTCCATTTCGGTAATTTAGTGCCCAAATCAAATACGCGTAAGTGTCGTGGCAACCAAATTAACGTGATTTACGGGGATCTATGATTATCACTCCGTAGATAACACAAATTAATGCTTGCTGTGTAAAAGTGAAAGCTATTGATATAACAAATAATAACATTAAATCCCTCTCTTGTAAAATTTCATTTCGTGCAGATACGAACCTTTTACCAATGCTACGTATACGGATTTGCACTATCTCCAACGATAGCTAACAAGCGAATAGCTAGGCTACAGGTGAAGCTTGAAAATCAGTAATGCTGAGTCTTTAACCTTTTTGTCCACAGGTTAAGTATTGTGTTTCTCAAATGTTTCCTATGTTTTGTGGAGAAATAAGTGTCTTTTTATTTTATTTTAAATACATAATTTGTCTCGTAGTTAACAGTTTCGTGTAGTTTGTTTATGACTTTCATGTGATAAAAGCATTTTTGACCAAAGATACGACATTTTGTCACGCCATCAGAGTACATTAATTACATTAGCACTAAAATTTAAAGCAGACCCTTTGAATCAACTGTAACAACAGAAACAACATGCCTTATCGCTAACCTCCAATTTCTACCACACAATCACTGGGTGAAAGACTAAGTAAAAATAAAGAACACTTAAGTTGTGATTGCTAAAAAAAAGTAAATAGTATAGATTAATTGCTAAGGGTTTTGGAATAGGCAATGATATACACAGCATCTACTATAACTGAGTTGTAAGTAAGGTGTAACAAATTTCAAATTTACCTAAATTACTTCCACAAATCACCAAATAAATTGTTGTTTAAAAATGTTAGTTTCGCAGAATCATCTTACCGACTTTCAATTTGGTCGCGGCAACACAGGCCGAGATGCGATTTTCAACCATTCATCTATCCTCACTAGCATCCGTCCAATGCAAATTTTTGATACTCCATCCTATCTTGGTGTTTTTTGGGTTGCAATTCATTTGTGCGATGTAATAGGAATGAATTATAAATATTTTGCAATGGAGTAAAAAAGATAGGTGCTTAATATGCGATATTTTGCAAGAAATTATAAAGCCGCAACGTGTTACATTGTCGGAAAAAATTCTCAGGCGTTTTACGTTTCGTTCAAACAACGACTCGTAAACGCAGTAGGTGTAAATTGATCAGTTTATTCTTACCTTGGTTAACCAATTTTTTAGCAAACCGACGGAAATCATCTTCTATGGACACTTCACCGCAAACTTTTGGAGTTCGCACAATATTCCATAGATTGCTAATAACAACGGTTGTTTGTTAGTGGAAGAATCTGTTTGAACAACTTCTTACCCCAACTGGCTTCTTAGCTCGCTGACTTCTCTGGCTGATGTGGCCCCGGGAATGCCGAGTTGCTTGGCTCGCGCGATCAGCCGGCAGTCATCGTACGTGTAGTCCAAAACCGGTACTCCCAAAGCCCTTGAAACGAATGAATCAATCGATTTGTGAATGTTACGACAATAGTAATTGCGTTGTTGTAATCTTTACTTTGGCAGTTAGTCTATTACTATCGAAATCAATTTTCATACCCATTTTACTAACGACGGGATATTTGAATATGATATTAAATTCAAATGAAAAACTTTAAAATATGTCCTTCATTTGTATTTTATACACATTTACTATATTTTGTGTATGTATTAATTCAACTGAAACAAGTTATCGGCTATCTATTTCATAAGCGTAACCGACAAGCAATCGATACTCGATATAATATTTATCGACTGCAATCACTAGTTACTAGCAAGCGAGCAACACTTTTAAGCAATGAAATGTCATTTTACTCCATCTTCAAAAATGACAGACTATAGTTAATATACATTATTATTGATTTGGTCAATTAATTCCTCCCTAATAATGAGATAAAGGCAGGAGTATGACGAGAATGGAGCCCACGGTCAGTATGTTCATAATAAAGAATAAATTTACTCGCTAACGGAATTAGCTAACCCAATCAATACCTTGTACACAGACTACAATTGTGATACCAAAGGGCTAACAAATAGTATCTCTCGGGTTAATCCAGTCACAAACAAGTTATAGATAAATCCATCTAAATTAGCTTTACCGGCGTGGTTGTATAATTAACTGTAACTGCATTTACAATGTCAATGGAGATGGTTTAAAAATAGCAAAATATCCAAGAACTGACTTGGCCATCACATCTCTGACGTTCCTGGCGTACAGCTTGGGGTCCCGCTTCTCCTCTTCGCTCGGGTAGTATACGGGCAGGAACTCAATCTCGCACGAGCTGTGTACTTGTGTCAGCGTCAGCCACAGCAGCTTCAACCTAATAACAATAACACACTCAACATAGCATGGACTCACAAATAGACAACCACAAATTACACCCAAACTCACGAGGTAAATAAATCGACCCTGGGACCTCTACGTGGCAGTTCAGCATGGTAACGGTTCGGCCACAGAGGCAGTTAAACTAATAACATTTAAGATGTTTAAAGTATAAGACTGAGTACAGACAACATTCATGGCTTGTAATTTGTCGAATATAGCACACCTAATGATTGACATAACATAAGTCAAAAGGTCGATAGCAAAGAAAACATGAACGTAATTGCATGATTGTAGTTTAGAAAGGATATCCTTATAAACAGAAATCATCAAAGGCGATACTTGTTAATTTGAATTGTGATGGTATAGAACCTACGTAGGTATAGTTGACGAAATATTTTATTGCAACGATTCGTATAATCTGTTTATCTTTCAAGTGTAATAGGACAAAAGAGTGAGCCGTCTCGGTAAAGTACAAACTACCTGTATAGTGCAAACAACTATAGTCCATTTGTTTAGGTACTTAACTAAATGTAAACAATCTTGATACATCTTTTTATTGAAACATATGCTTTACAAATCAATAGGTATAAAATTAGGCATGCAATTTCATATGAAGCTAAGTATTTGTATTTTGTATGTGAAGGTAAGGGAAAATCATTTTATAAATGTATATTTCATTAAATAGACATCTCAAGATTGTTTACATTTAGTTAATTACCTAAACAGATGGACTATAGTCTAAACACTTATATGTACGCATGGGCACCTTAGGGCGCGTGTACACGCTAAGAAATTCGACCTGTCTGCTACAGAAAAGATGAGAATGGTCTTGTACACGACAAGAACTTTGTCGGATCTAGCTACGAAAACAAGTCGTGTTTGTTGCAGACGAGAAAATGTTGTATGTACACGATACGAATGCTTTCGGACAGACGTGTGTAGGATAAAATGTGTCAGTGCATTACGAGTCTTCCAGGTAGCTGTCGTTGTACTACCGGCTGTGGGAAGCAATATTATGTTGTTGTATTATGTTGACTACTAAACAACACCGGTCCACGCGCGTAAAAGTTCGTTTACTGACAATAAACCTCACCCCGCTCCATACAACAGGGACAGAGCACATCGTGTAGAAGGTACACAAGATTTTTTCCTGTCCTGCACCGAGATATACACAGTTCGTGTGTAGAAACGACACGAACTCTTGCATAGACCCGGTGACTTTTCTTAGCGTGGACACGCGCCCTTAGAGACAGAACTCACGAAGCGGTGTTGCCCCGCGCCCGCTGCGGTTGCGGGACAGCTGTTTTATTTCAACACTCACGATACCGCAGGAGGATTGCAAGGCGCGCGTTTATTTACGTTCGTTTGAGATCGTCAGTTAAATCTCAGACGTCGCCATGGACTCACATCAACAACGAGCCATCGCGTTATACTTACTTCATCGAAGAATTAAAAGAAGAAGGCCTAAAAGATTCTAGGTGCATCATCTGATTCAGGAAATAAATCGTTAGGGATTATTCGTTGTTCTTATTAATGAGTTAAAAAAAACATGAAGACAAATTCTTTTATTTTTTTCGGATGTCCGTATCTACTTATTCAGAACTTTTAAGAAAAATGGTAACTGGTAGGAAATTAATTGATCGACTTCAACATCCATAACTTGAGAAATTGACACGCGCTGCCAAATCGAAAATCAATCACAAAATGGCGTGGGAACGAAAGACCCAACCCGCGCGCGTGCAACATGACTGCGTCCCGCGCGGTTTGCGGCCGCCCGCGCAACCGTTTCCGCTGCTAGCATAAAACGCGTCGTGAAATGTGCTAATAAATTTTGCATACATTTCTTCATTCTTCGGAGGCCGCGGTTCTTAGCCTTACTCTGAACTTAAGAATCTTCACGCGGAACTAACTTTGCTGAATTAGTAACAAAAGAGCCGGTAATCGGTATAATGAAATATATCCACTTTAAAAAAAATAAACCACCACCACTAAAGAAATAATTCAAAACAAGAATCCAGAAAAAGCATTAGCGCGCCCACAACTCGTACGATTGATCAAGATTATTAAATCCGTGTACGCTATAACACACGGTGACTTTTGGCAGCGATTCTACGTTTACACACGCGCTCGATTATAAGCAGCGATGCAAGCGCGCGACTGCATCGATACAAACGCGCGATTGCATTGCTGCATTTGGGATTTATGGGCGATGGCATCGACGCAATCACGTTTGTATTAAAGCAGTCGCGTGTTTGTTTCGATGCAGTCGCGCGTTTGCATCGATGCAATCGCTTATACACGCGTTTACGTCGCTCTAAGTCCACCACTCTAAGCAAAAGAAGTGTTAGTCGTTTTATTACACTATTGTAACTTTCTATTACAATAGTGTAATATCATATCATATCTATCAGCCGTTCCAAGCGATAATATTCATCGGTGCAAATAATATTTCTTCAAATAAACTTTAGATTGTATTATGAACCCTACAAAGGAGTTACCTGCAATGGTGTTACCACATTTATTAACGCGAAATCAGTTAAGTCAGTCATAAAATGCTTTATGCCATGTAATAAGAGCGAAACAGACAGTGTGCGATTCGCGTGGGGCATAAGTGTGGTGACACCCTTACATTCAGCTTCGGTGTATCTCGTTTGACGCACCTAAATACTAAATGACGTCACTTCACTTCAAATTCTACGAAATTTATAATAACTCTATCAGATTGAGTTTGATTGATTGATGCCCTTGAACAAAATATAATCTCAGTACAGAGTACTTAAAAAACCGACCTCAAAAGTACGCGGAATTACGTCTATTTGCTAAGTTTCATTGAAATATCCCCTAGTTCGCCACTATACAGGACTTGATACTGGAGATAATAAAAATAGGTTCTCACTACTCAAAGTATATTGAGAGAGAAAAACGCCTCGAATTGGAGAATAGCAAAACTAACCATTAAAATAATTGCTCCTTAAGTAAAATTTAGGCGCTATTTATTAAAATGAATGTTTATGCGTGATCAGCCATCCTTGAAGGTGGATGATTTTCTTCAAAATGAAATGGGACCACTTTGGAAGTACCCCCTTTCCAACAAAAAAAGAATTATGAAAAACGTGCATGATAGGACTGCTGCGAGCAGAGGGATCAAAAGAGTATACCAGGAGCGTAGCAGACAGACCACCATGGTCTATGCTGGTCAATGGGAAACAGGTATAATTTATTGTGGGTATGTAGGTAATTCTGTTCAGTTATTTGTATTGAGTCACTGTACAACACGGTCATAAATTGTTGACGCAGTCAAAGTTCACTTTAAACCGACTTCAAAAAAATGGAGGAGGTTCTCGAATAGTCTGTATTTTTTTGTGTGTATGTTACGCGACAACTTTTTTTTTATAATACCAAATGACGGGACGGCAAGTCATGCGCCTAGTGATAAACGACACGCTTATCCACAACAGTTGCAGTGCCATTCAGAGCTTCAAATCGCAAAGATCTTATGGACACTGCCACTGCACCCGTCGTCCTGAGATATAAGTTGACATGTCCCATGTGCCTGTAATTTCACCAGCACCCTTACCCTTCTAGATCAGTACCAGTGGCAGTACCAGGACGAACTCATTCCCAAGGAGCTCTACTGTACTAAACTCCGATTTGTAAACCGATTTTGATGATTCTTTTTTTGTTGGAAAGAGAATATTCATCAAATTCAAAAATATTCCACCTCTAAGGGTCGCAAACTAGGGGATGAATCCGATTTCGCACACTTTCCGGTAACCGATTTCAATAAAACTTGGCAAATACATCTAATTCCACGAACGATTTTGAGGTCCGTTTTTTGTACCGATTTAGCTCAAAGTTCACGTGAATGGAGTAATAATATATTAATTTTGCCAAATAAACGTGTATTTTGTGCATCTATAATAAGATATATATATCGTATATTTTGGCAGCGTCCCGGTCAAGTCACTAAATGCTACCTGCTACCTGGGCACAAAATTTCAGATCGTGGCACTCGATAAACGTTCTGTTATATAACTATCTTTAATGTTTTAGGGATAAAGGAAGAAAGTTCTTCATTCGACTACTGTTTTTATTGGAAAGGGGGATACCTCAATAGTGGTCCCATGCAAATTTGAAAAAAAAAATTGCACCCGGTGTCCGTTAACCGATTTTAATAAAATCTGGGAAATAGATGTAACGAACTACTGACGAACGCACCGAAAGCGGAAACCTAAATTTTTATGTCAGTTTTTTCTGTATAAAACTTATAAATTATCCTTCATCTCATTCCATTTAAAAAATTAAATTATTAATAATACAAAAATCGAGCGTTGAAAAAAATTAATTCAGTCCAGCATACCAGGCCGACGCTCTGCCAACGAGCTACAGAATTTTTCAATGTGCTTGTTGCAAAGATCTGCGATTGTTGTTTTTGGTTTTTTAACGACATTTTGCCGAAGCGCCATCTGTGAGAAATCTATGAATTTCACTAAAAAATAATTAAATATCGTGGTAGTAAAAACCGTGATCAATAAACCTCATAAGGCATTATATTCTTAAAGAATCTATAAAAGCACTTACGCTCCCGGACCTTCCCAAGTCCAAGTGACGGTATCCCGTGCGTTTGGGTAGCGGATAGTCACCGGCTGCACTGGCACTCCAGGGTAGAACCCGCCGGGCTTGAACGTGATCAAGCACGAGCGGTTGGTGCACGTGCCTTCCGGGAATATTAGAACCTGAAACACAGAAGCATTTGTCACTATCAAGAAGACATCAAATTGCGCTGTTCTTACACTTCGGAAAAGAAACCATTTCTTTCGGATCCAAATCACGTACATTTGTTCACATATGTGTATACACATTTTACTGGCAATAGAGCACCTTGTGAAAGAGGCCGACTAGGAAAGTGCTTCCACCTAGCCTAGTTCTGCCGCCAAGCAGTAACGTGAACATTACTACATTCCCGTTTTGATAGGTAAGGGTGCTGGTGAAATTACAGGCACATGGGCCTTGTCAACTTATGTCTCAGGGTAACGAACGCATGGCAGTGCTCCTCAGATCTTTGTGATTTAAAGCTCTGAGTGGAATGTAACTGTTAGAGACAAGTGTGTCTCTTACCACCAAGCGTTGTTCGTACCGTCAATTGGTGTGAAGAAAACAGTTTTTTACTCAAAAATCTATAGAACAGGCTGTGCTGGGTATCTCTCTTCCAGATCGATTCAGAAACACAAGACACCGAATGTTATCGACGTTGACTAAGTGTTAGCCAGCAAGCAAAAAGTGGAAATGGGCAAACCATAATATTCCGTAGACAAGAACACAGAAGAGGTAGAAGGGTTGAAGATGGTGCTTGAATGGGGATCCAGACAAGGATACGGAAGCGTAGGTAGACAACTGATACGCTGGACTGACACTTTGTCCAAGTGGTGGGGAAAAATTGGATTAGGAAAGCACAAGACCGGAAGGAATGGTGTACATTGGAAGAAACCTACACTCAGAATTGGGTGGATAGAGTTTAAAACATAAGAAGCGGGTTTGACTGAGTCAGTCGTGAGCATTGATCCTGTAAAGAGATAGATAGTGATAAATGTTACACCAAATAAGATACAATCGCTATTGGAATTAAAGGTAACGGTACCTGTGGCCAGTCTTCTTTGGACGTCGCCCGCTCGATGATCTCCTTGATTGTGTTCTGTCGAGAATTAGGGTCATCGCGCCACACGTACACGGGCTGCGTATAGTTTATTAGCTCTGGAAAACAGAGACACGCTTTTGTAATCATCTGTGTTGTAAAATTCATGGAAAAAATAAAAGCTGAATTTAAAAAGTAATCTATTTTTTTACCGGAACAAAAATATCAAAAGTCAACATTAACGCCCCAATTTCAAGGCTCAAAGTAGCGTGCTTTTATTTGTGTTTACATGTCAAAGTCAGTATGCGGCAGATTATACCGCAGTGTAATAATTGAACAGCAAATACGTATATTAGGAAATATAGTATTAAGATAAAGTCATGACAATAAGTCTATTATCTATTAAGTTCCTTCACAATAGTGTAAAAAATATTGTGACTTACATACAAAGTGCAAAATCAGCATGCATTTCTTACTAATTGATAAAATAAGTAAGAAAAATAAAAGCGGATTGCGTGCCGTAGCCATTAAAACTATGTAGCCATACATAAAAATATACACTATGTCATGAAAACATGCTTCGTCTGATGAAAGCCAAAATAATATTAAAACAATTACCAAAAAACATTGATAATTTAAAAAACCATTCGGTACGGTCCAGCGGACATTCTGTCTATGTCATCTACACGTATCTCCATGGCATTTACAGCGCCACTCAGAGCTTCTAATCGCAACGATCTGAGGGGCACTGCCAATGCGCCTGTCACCCTGAGACATTAGTTCACAAGTTAGATGTGCCTATAAATTTCACCAGCACCCTTACCCTTCAGACCAGAACGCAGTAATGTTGACATTACTGCTTGGCGGCAGAAATAGGTAAGGTGGCAGTACTTTCCTGAACGAACCCTTTCACAAGGCGCTCTACTGCTACAAAAAGATAAAATAATAAAACATTTTCTGGAATAATTCAAAATATTATTTAAAAAATCATTTCATCGAATATCAAATTAATTTAATTTGTTGGTATTTTGGTTTGTTCCAACATTGACTTACAAATAAATGGACGACGGGTCTAATACAAAAACCACGAAAAAAATGTCCCAAGTCAACCTATTCGAAATTTAAATTGTTATGTCATCGCAGTATCGCGCTGTCCGTAGAACAAATGAAGACTAAAGCGGAGTGTCGCGCTCTGTATACGATTTTAGCGCCTTACAAGTGCGGACACTTTTTAGCGCGGACCCGACGTCCATATAATTGTAAGTCAATGTGTTCCAAGGTTTTTTATTTCATTCAAAGAAAGACCTTGGATTCAAGTATTTTAGTCGAAATGTTAGAGATAATAAACCTAGATAATAAATAAACAATATAACCATGTAGTAGTAAGAGCATTGTAATTGAATAAAATTAATTTTTTTTTCAATAGTATTTACGATGAATTTAACGAGGTAACACTGCCGTCAGTTTTTAACCCCCTGACACGGTGACACAATTGTATTTTTTAAAATACTTTACCACATTCCTATGACACATCGACTGTAAATTGACAACCCATACTATCTCAATTTGGATACCTTTACATTGACTTTACAGGTGAAGAAAAAAATTGTTTGCGTCATTTATATACCATCTGATTTATTAAATAAAAACACGTAGTTTTTAAATATTTATATTGCACATACACTACGTATTTTTATTTAATAAACCAGATGGTATATAAATGACGCAAACAATTTTTTTCTTCACCTGTAAAGTCAATATAAAGTTATCAAAATTGAGATAGTACCGGTTGCCAGTTCACAGTCGATATTTCAAATCGAAACTTGTAAATCGGTTCAAGCCCAACGTAGCCAACTAAAGCAACCATAGTGTTATAAACGGCCTTGATTTCAGCCTTTGCTAAGACCTAGGTTCACCGGGAAGCCCTAACGTTGCATGTCACACGTGATCGTTACGGAAATAACTACTTTTCAGTTAAATGTTTTACGATTTGAGAAATACCAACGTTGGAATGATACATTATATAGGTACTCGAAACCTCGAAACACACCTTTCACATATACCATCCAATAGAAAGATACGTGCAAAGGTTACTTCATTACACTGCATTTGCTAGAGATGT